CGTTCCCTTTTTCATTGCTGGAACTGTCGCCACCGGCACTCCCACTCCCTAAGAAATATATGGAACGGTAGCCCGCTCCCTTTGCAGGTATAATCCAACATGGCGGCTGCTCCCCCCAAACCACCCCCCGCAGAAAAATGGCTGCCAAATAGACCCCTGGGGGGGGGTTTAGGAGAAGTGGAAACCTTTCTAAACATGAGAGAAATTCGTTCCTGCCCACTAGCACGGAACCCAGAGGCTCCATAAAGAAAACTGGTCTAATTCAGGACCCAAAAGGTTCCATGGCAAAGTCGGGTACTGCGTTTATGATCGTGGCCACGTGTTTCCCATTTTTTGTTTGGAGGTTGTTTTTAGTTGGTGCCATTGTTTTTGGTTTTACAGGAAACCATGCTTGGGAACACCACCCATTTTGGGAGAAGCTTCCGGGACGGCTCGGTCAGGAGATCGAGCACTTCGATGCTGGGAACACCGTCATCGCGGTGGCACAGATCCCCAAGATCAACCAGGCCTGAAGACTTGTGGGCATGTGCCTTAACTGCTCTTCTCCCATTTGCTTAAGAATATGTTTTATGTTCCCCTGTTGGTTTTAAAGGGAATCTACCACTACTACTGGATGTTTCTTCAGGGGACTGAAGCAAATGGAGGTATTGGGTCGGAGCCTTAGACATTAACTTTGTGGAAACAGCTCGGACCTTCCATTGGGACCCACAAGATGTTAAGCTTTTTGCACAGGGGTCAACAGCAACCAGGGTGGCGATTCCTGGTTGATCTGTACTGTTCCATCATTTGCCAGGGCCATCTATTTTCCCAAAAGGATACCCGTGGGCGTGGTTATGGGCAATGAAACCACCAGAAAGCTGCAGGTTCTAGTCCATGTTTCCATTTACCAGGCTTCCATTTTATTTTGGGCACCTATTTTTGACCCATACCCATGTGAGCCAAAACTGGACCCCTAAAAAACACAGGCAGAATCAAGGTCCCTATTTGGTTGATTTCGAAGGTCAACCAAAAGGAAGCTGATTTGGGGGTCCCTTATTTTTGACGCACCCGCTTATTCTGCTGTTCAAAGCACATTGACCTTTTAGCCTGTTGGAGACGTCCTTTTTCATCATGCCCTTTGGCTTTTGTTTGCGCCGGCTGAAGACGACCACATACGACCACTTCCACTTCCTCGTTCCTATCAATAGAAGTGGAGGACTTTGCAAGAGGATGGTAGGCTTCCAAAACCCTCCGCTCCTCCATTTCCATGATTGGACTCAGAGTACGCAAAACGGCTCCTTGTTGGAATTTCATTTGTGTAGAGAGCACGGGCCTGATGTGTTCCAGCATATCCACCCCCTCTACTCCCATTTGCTCAATGCAACCTGATTTTTGCAACCTGAATACACACTTGTGTGCTCAACGCCCACAGCCAATTGGCATCCCTCTGAAACCTTCCTGCGGATCGTCCGGATCGATCCTCAGGACTGCCCGCTGTTTCAGCACCGAGCTTCTCGGCGAGCAAGCGAGCTGCAAGAGGTGCAAGAAGTGCCCAGGGCTCCCTCAGTAGAGCCCAGATCTTGGGAGGAATTGCTACCAGCGCTACTTGGGCGGCCGAACACCGTGGACCTTTATTTGTGAATGTGCGTGTTGAAGAGTGGTATGTGGGTCTGTGTGTGGTATGTGTGTGGGTATTCTTTGTTGTGGGTATGTGCGTGTTGAAGAGTGGTTTTGTTCGGAGAGACCCTCAAATGGTGGGGTTCATGAAACAAGGTGTCGGACCTTTGTGAGCGCCATTTTCTTGGAAAAGACATACACTCACGTCAACATGGAGCCTGACTGAGGGGTCCTGGAAGACTATGTTATACTATGTGCGTTAATTACGGGGGACCCTTTGGTGGGTTCCCGTTACTTCCCCAGAGTTAGCTCCCCTTTTTGTTTTTCTTTTTTTTCTTTTTTGGGTCCCTTTGATTTCCACTAACCAGGCAAAAAAAAGAAGATATATTTTTTGCAGGGGTCCTAAATCCAGCCTAGGTTAGTGGACAGGATGGCTCTTCATGATTGTGCCAGTCACTGAAATGCAATGTTTCAGTTCGGGCCGTCCTTCGCTTGCCTCCCTCCATGTAACAATGTACCCTTCACATTCTTTACATGACCGTTCTAGATGGGGTTACCTTTGTGGCTCCTTTTGTCGGGGCTGTCCTGTTTTGCCCAGGCAAGACCATAGCCCCACTTGTGTTGGGTTGGGGTGGTCACATGGCCACGGAGTGCCCTCAAAGGGATCCCATGGATGGGTTCCCCACTGGAGCCACACGCAGGTGAAGCCGTGCAGGAGCATCTACTGCCCACTGTTCCGTTCTTTTGTTTTTGTTCCTTGTTAGTCCATTTTTAGCCGAGGTCCCAAAAGCTGATCACCTTGATTTTCGGGCCCCCTGTGGGGGCAAGTGGGAAGAGGAAAACACACATTTTGGGGGGTGCCCCTTCTGGACCAAGAACTTGGCCCGAGGGAAACCGCCACCTAGGTCCCCCAGCCAGGTGCCCTTTTAAACTTTTTTTTTGGTTGGGAGGGAAATCCCCTACTAAAATAGACTACAGAAAAAGTGGGTGCCCTTATTCTAACCTCTTTGCTGGAAGACCTAGCCGCAGAAACCCCGAGACCTGGCATGAGCTGCAGAAGCGTGCGCACGGCTCCATCCAACGGCTCGAGCCCAGAGGCGTCGGTGTGGTTTCCTTTGGACGTTTTTTTGGAGCGGTGAATTGGATTTGAATTGTGGTCTCGTTTGTTTTGGAGGGGGGTGGTTTCCTTCGGACTGTTTTTTTTAGCGGGGCGATGAATTGGATTCGTTTTTTTTTGGTGGTGGGGGGGGGGCATTGGTATGGAGTTCGGTAGGTGAAAGTTGAACTTGGGCTTCGAGAAATGAAAAGGTCAAGTTGCGTTTAGGCATGGACGTTTATGAGTATCAGGCTCATTTATATAGGAAGAAAGCATGTGACTCATGTGTGTTTGAACATAAGTTTCTTAGAGTTCAACTGGTTTAGGAAGAAACCATGTGACTCATGTGTGTCTAAACATGATGGGGGGGGGGGAACCCCCAGTTTCAGGGACACCCTGAGGGCTCAGAAAGAGGAAAAAAGGCAACCCCCGAGTAGTGGAAGAAGGCATTTGACTATTCTGGTTTCTAGCGTGTCCTGGACGTTCGGGCGGGTGTTCGGCTCTTGTCATCAGCAATCTGCAAAGCCACACTATCCATCAATATCCCCACCCCCTCCAAAATGGAATTGGGGGAGGGGGTGACCCCTGGAAATCCATTTCTGGATCCACTTTCCCTTGTACTGGGAAGACTAGATCAACGGAATTGGGGGCCCCCCCACCCCCCTCCCCCCTCCAGCAGGGGGGATTCTTCAATCAGGGCTTGGGCAATTGTCTCTCAGGACGTGAGTTCGCATATGTTTTGAATGAGGTGTTCATGCATTCAATATCATAGGTGTCCATTTTGGGTGAGCCTGGCTAAAACTAGATGGCACTGGTTTACATGGGTTTTGTTCCATTTACCAGGGCCATCTATTTTTCCAAAAAAACCACCTATGTTCCGTATCCCTTAATTGGTATTTCGGATTGGTGGTTTGGGTAATCCACCCCAACAATTAGTTGGAGGGAAGCTGATTCAATGCTCCAAGAGCCTATTTGAATTCTTGGCTATGCGCACTTGGAGCCCTAGGTCCTTATAAGCCTGTTAGGCCTGTCGATGCTCGCTTACGCGCTGGCGCGCATCAAAGACTGGGAGGACCGGCGGCGCAACTGCGCGTTGTCCACTTGGAAGACTTTGTCAGTATTGGGAACCCCGGGTGAAGCCCAGTTTGTTGATAGGGCGGTCTTCCTGGTGTGGAGATTCATCATAATTGGAGGGGAAGACCCGCTACTTATAGAACGGATTTATTAGTCCGAGGTCAAAATTGGAAAAGCATTTGGTGGGCAAAGTTGGTCATCCCATGTAGGGGTTCATGCATTTCAACTGGATTTTGTCCATAGTATGGACATCCTAAACGTGGTAAGTCTTTAAGTGGATGTCTCTTGGAGGTGGGCCAGTCTTCGCACCGGGCCCCAAGGGACCATTTAAATTCCAGAGATGTTTGCTCAGGTTAAAAGACCGCACATGTAAGGAGGTGCATTTGTCAATCCAGAGCAAACATTTGTTTCACCTACCAGCCTGCCTTTCATGGGTGCTCTCCCCCCCCAAAGAACAAAAAGCAGAAACAAAGGGGCAATTTGTGTCGGGCTGAATAGTTGAATTCCCCAATAGTGATTGAGAATGGTTTTGGAGTACATCATAACCCCGTTCTACCTATTTCGGCCTCTATATATGGCTGTCCCCATTACAAGGGAATCGTGCCCTCTACTCCTACGGTGAATTTTTCCACCTGGAAATCATGAGCCCCCGCTCTCAGAGGTGATGTTCCATTCACCGGACACGATTCTAGCTGTCTGCTTCCCCAACCTCATCAAGCATCCTTCTCTTCAACTGTGCCAACTTTGCGGAAAAAAGATAATCAACCCTTAGAGCATGAGTGGTTTCCGAAAAGTATCCCTTGAGAAAAGAGTGGTTCTAGAAAGAATGAGTGAAGAGAATGGGGGATCGGATCAACCTCAAACAATCCATGGTAATCCAATATTTTCCCGCATCTACCCTCCAACTGGGTCAAATGTTTGCTATATCTTAATCCACGCTCATCTAGCCTCCAATTGGGTCAGATGTTAGATATATATATATATATATACATACATACTGTGGATAAACCGAAATCCTGCACCACCGAAGAAACCCCTGAATGTTGATTCCCCTGTAAATACCAACAAACAGTGGCATGGTTGCTTAAGTGGTGCAGGATTTCGTCCATCCGCAGTATTACCTACATGCATTGTGTGGGTTACCCCTCAGAACTCACGGCACCGCGGTGCTTCCCGTCAGACGTCCGAGGACCCGGACTTGCTGCGGGCGCTGCTGGACAGATCCCTGGAGAAGATGGAGGACTTCGGGCCGACGGACGCCGCCAAGCCACTTGGCCCCCTTTGCAAACTCCGGGCCTGTCGGAAGCGGTTTCTATGTTTTGGTGTATGTTATGTGTGAATTGGTTTATTTGTCTATATATGTATATACGTGGAGAGACAGAGAGAGATATTTATTTATTGGGCGCCCAAATGCAAGTTCCAGGCACTCCGGCGAATCCGAAAGGTCCGGTGGGTGGTTTCCTTGCGGGGTGGTTTCTATGTGTTGGTTTTTATTGGCTTTGTTGTTCTATTTTATGCTATGTTATGCGTTTGTTTGTTTGTTTATGTGTTTATTTATTGTTTGGTAGTTTCCTGATTTCGCGGATGTTTGCTCCTTGTCGTTTTCCCTGGTTATGTTCTTCGATTCCTGGTGGTTTCTGTGTGTTTTTTCTTGCTTTCGCATACGCTCATGGACTATTAGGCAGGGTCACACGAGGCTTAGGGACACCCCAACACCCTCATGGTTTCCCGATTTTCCGGATGTTTGCTCCTTGCAGTTTCGCCTGGTTTTGTGCTTCCCTTTGCTTGTTCCCTTGCTTTTGTTTGGCCTTTCAAATGGTTTGCCGAGTTCGTTTCTCTGTTTCGGTGGGAGCCCCTTTTGTCCAACAAAAGGGTACTGAGCCTCAAAACCGACACACTCAAACTCAAATCACCAGGTTTCAGCTGAAAGTTATTATTTTCGGTGGGTGGCGTGGTTCGGAACGATTTTGCGGACCTAGGGGCCCCAGACGATGCCCGGTGACCTCCAAATGGGTCCCGTTCAGGACTCGTAAACTGGTGCACGCCAGGGTCAAGAACTGCGCGGTGTTTTCCTGGAGCTGGTACCTTGTTCACCTTGGTTTAAAGGAACACCGACCGGAAAACACCACCATTTTGGGGTGTTTGGGGGTCCGTTTTTTTGGGTACATACCCTTTTCTGGTCAATTGAAGACTCGTAAGCCTCTACCTTAAGCAGTGCTCCTCCGGCCTTCTCGCAACCCAAGGCTGGCCTGGGTACTTGCGAAGCACCTGAGCTGCAGATTAATCAGGGAACCTTAGTTGGGGGTTTGGCTGTGTGATTTGGGATTTGAACCCCTGGTTCTTGTAGAGGCTATTGTCCCCGGATGGTTTTAACCCTGTTTATTGGTAGGTAATTAATGTTGTCCCCGGATGGTTTTAACCCTGATTAGTAGGGGCTGTTCCGGGGAAGCTGACTTAAGGGCGTCTTTCTGCCGTGCGGATTGGCTTGCGCCTCTGGCAGTGGTGCGTGTTCGGAATTGGCGAGGCTCGCAAAATGGGGCCTAAATGGAATCAACTCCCCAGCCCATTCAAATTTTATCAGGGAAGTAACCACCTTTCTAGGCCCCATTTTCTGCCGAAGCCCCAAACACATGGTGGGGCCAAAGGCAAGAAACGGGCACGCCCCAAACCGGGGGTGGGAGCGCGTGGGTATTGTTTCTGGCCAAGCCCTGGGCCCAGGATTCGGCGGCGCTCCAGGAACTGTGAAGAATCTGGCCATGGATTCAAAACCGTTTTGGATCCCTCAGTTGTTCAGTGGCACCCTTTCCTTTTTTTTGGGTGGCTGCCCCACGAAAAATGGTCTTCCCCAAAAAGGGTTCCTCTTTTTTTCTCCAGGGTCGCTGAACAACTGAGAAACCGTTCTGGATCCCATTCCAGGTGAATTCACCACCCATTTTAGTACCTATAGTGGTTAAATTGAATCGGATGTTGTCTGGGAGCACGATTTGGGTTTTGACCCATGGCCGTATGGCTGTTGTTTTTGCTTGGAGGGCATTCCTTGCTTGTGGGCTTTAAAAGGGGCACCAAGAGGAAACTCATCTTTTTGTTTTGGGGGTATCTTAAGAAAGACACTCAGGAATATGCTACATTTCTTTTTTACAACGGTTGTGCAAGGGGTAACATGCCTTGTCCCCTCCTGCATATAGTGATTGCAGGACTGGACACTCTTGCGGCATCAATCCCAACCTGTCTACTTAACGTCTTGGCCACGGAGAGTTTGAATTGCTATTGTTCCTTCTGATTTTGGAACACTAAGGCGCAGGCTTTCCTAGGTCCCCCAGTAGTGCCATTTTACCCTTTTTTGGGGGGAGGGTTCCCAGACCAAAGTAGACTGCAGAAAAATGGGTACCCTTATTCTAATTTCTCTACTGGAGGACCTACTTTGCGGTTGCTTTGCCTAACCTTTAAGGCAGCAGTCCCCTCAAAAAACTGCTGGAGCTGGCAACTAGGGAGGCATGTCAAGCGTCCCCGGCACCTCGAAAGCCTCCATCATGTCAACCGGAGACCAAGCCCATGAGCCCGTTGGGGTAGGAACACCCTCCCCTTCAGCAAGTGGAAGTCGCTTGGACAACCTCCCATGCATCGGTTTCTGAGCATGGTTCGTCTGGAGCTATTAGAGGCACACACACACACACATCGGCTGGGATGCAGCACTACTCCATATGATGGATGGACAGAATCCTGCACCGGTGGATGGCTGGTTTACCCCACATCTATCCCCGGTGCGAAATGTGCTTTCTCCGTCCACAGTGCAGGTGTGTCAAGGTAGAAGGCATATGTGAGAGTTGTCCAAAAACCCTTGATGGGCGCCTGCGATATGCTCAGCTTGACGCACGAATTGATCACTGGCTTAGGCCAGCTTGAGGGGCACATTCGCCAATCCTTCAGGCAACCACATCTCATGAAAGCGCTTTTTTCCAACTCCCTGAGTTTCTGGACTTTGACTTTTAGGGAAGACCACGTTAGTGGCAAACAACAAAGTTTTGACTTTAGTTGATTAATCCGATCGGAAGCGAGTCTGTCATTTACCACGCCTCCTATGTTCTGTGGCCCGGGCTCCCAATCTGTCTGAGGGTTTTTGTATTACACCCGAAGATCCGCCTGCTGGAGCCAGCCCGCCATGTCGAGGCTGCAGATCCGGGAGCGCGGGGATCTCTGGGTGGCACTCTCCAAGGAGGCGGCGCGAAAGATCTGCCGGGGACCTCAGCTCGCAACGAACGCGCGTGGAAACAGGGCAAGCCATTTTGGTACCGTTTTTTTGAGCCACAGCCAAATAAACTTCACGTGCCGGAGAGGGACATCCAGAGTGAATCCCATGAATGCCTCGAAATGACTCCGCAACTGATACCGCATTCAAACAGCACGGCTGGCGACGCAACTCGAAGTTCACCAGCCTCCCGTTTTAGGGACCCTGGACGCCACCAAGTCCAAGCCCCTCCAAATCCAAACCTTCTTGGTTTCCATCTGAAGATCTTACAAATTGCCATGGACACCTCGCCCAAGCCTCGGGTTTCTTCTCTTTCCCCCCCCCACCCAGCCTGTTGCATCGTTGGATTTACCGAGAGATTTCGGTCGAGGCACCAGCGGGCGCTTCATCGACATCTCCATGACCGCCTGGGCCTTCGCCAAGGATCGATCGCGTCGGCGCGTCGCCGCTCGAAGACTCGAGGACTCGAGGATCGCCCGCCTCTTAAACAAAAAATAAATGGCGAGCCCACGGGGTGGAACCTTGACTGCTATTGGGTAACGGATCTTTAGACTTTAACTCTTGTTGGTTGAAATCAAGTTGGGTTTTCCACTAAACCAACAAACAATTGAACACTTTTTGCAGAGGGGTCAACAGCAACCAAGTAACGAGCTCACAATAAGGCTCCTTTACTTGGGGATCCAAGTGGCATTTCAGCTTTTGGAATCATAGCAACATTTGCAGATCCACGTATGCGACTCATATTTGCCAACATCTACTTTCACGGGTCAACCATTCATTGTTGATTTCGGAATGTCTGCGGGCATCCCGCCAAAAATCTTAATCCACCAGGTAAGAAGAGGGATTTCCATGGCTTGGGAAATCTAAACATCCTGTCGCATTTTGTTTGGCATCCCCCGAATTCTGGTTGAGGGTAGCCTCAAAGTTTCGTCATTTTGGTCAGTACCCTTGGCCGTGCTCAGGTTGTTGGGAGCTCCGAATTGTGGGAACTAATTCATCAACCGCTGGTTTCTGAGAGCCAGTCGATGATCAAAATAACGTTGGGCAGTTACCAATATAGTAGGTAACCAAGCTGGTTACAAACTATACAGGCAACCGGAAGCACTGGGTTTGGTTTCGGACCATTGTAGTGGTAAACAAAATGCTTAGAGAGAGAGAGTAGCTCTTTACATTGCACATTGGCGCTTCCCAGCCGTTTTTAGTTGTGAGGGTTTCATGGGAGTTTCCACGCAACCCACTAAAAATGAAAAGCACATAGGGGATCAGTTTGGACAGCCCAGGTACAAGTGAGGAACCGGGGCCCAGCCTCTTAGTTCAACGTTGGTTCTGTTTCTTTGGCTTCCCACCAGCCAAGAGAGAATCCAAGCATACTACAGGGGTTCCTCCATTTCCCTTTTCGGAAGCAGTTTCAATGGGCACCGCCAGTAAATTGATAGACTTTGGATTTGGGACATTTCAGTGACCCCTGTAATACACCCGGTTTAAAATTCTTTGGCCCCTTATTGACCGCAGCCCTACCCATTTAGTGCCCATTCTGGGAAATGTTGAACTGGTCGGTCACCCAATACGAATGATCATGTATGGTTTTTTAGTGGGTGGAGGGTGGACATCGCAATCCTGGAAAATCCTGTTTACCAAGAGCAAAACCTGCTTCGCACGAGTTTCAGCTAAACGCGAACAAACTATAAATACTGGTTGGTAAACCTTCTAACTGTTGCGAAGTGGATTTTGTCCATCCACCAGGGTTCCCGATATTTTCCCTTCAAGCTTCACCCCCGATATTTTCCCTTCAACTCACCTCGAATTAGCTCAAAAGGTGATCTTGAAACCCCTCACTTGCAAGCAGACCTAAGCTTCTGGCTCCCTGATTTGGGGAGAGGGCAAGTGCGAACCACCCCGGCATGAACATGGAGCCCCAAAGCCACCATTTGTAATGGACACTTGCCCAAAGCGAATCGACCTCCTAAAGTTTCCTCTTCTTGGTTTCCAGGTTTAGTCATCCCAACAGGTGATTGTCCTTCATTTCTGGGTCCTTCAGCTGACCCCCCCCACCCCCACCCCACCCCACACTCCCCACCCCCCACCCCCCACTCCGCCACTCCCCTCCCCCACTCCCCACCCCCACTCCCCACCCCCACCCCCCACTCCGCCACTCCCCTCCCCCACTCCCCTCCCCACCCCCATCACCCGCGCCCCACTCCCCCCCCCCAGTTCTGCCAGGCGGGCATGGCGGAGCGGATCCTCTTCGGACAGCTGGCCTCGGCGGCCATGAGCTGCCAGGATCTGCCCCCGCAGCTCGGCGGCCGGGCGCGTGGCGCGCGGGGATGCATCGAGCCACCCAAAAGTCTGTGGCTTTGTCTGGGTCCCCCAGCTGTCATGTTCAACCTACCCAAAGGGTGGACCATTTTGTCATGTTTGCCAGACCCCCTTTTCCATAGCTAAACTAGGTCCCCCAGCTAGGTGCCCTTTCTCACCCCTCTTTTTGGGGGGCAGGGAAACCCCCTATTAAAATAGACCAGAGAAAAAGAATGGTACCAACTTATTCTAACCTCTCTACTGAAGGACCTAGTTGTTTGACATGGATGAACTTCGAAGGAACTCGAAAAGGTCCAATTCCCAGGAGTGTCCGATCCCAATCGCTTGGTTTTAGGGTTCCATGTTCTGTGGAGAAATGAAAAGGAAAAGAGAAGGCATATTACAAGTTTGGGTGTTGTCCATTTTTACTTGACATTGGGCAGACTGTGTTCAGACAACCATCGGGCCTCTTGAAATGGAAGCCAGGAAGTTGTTGAAATCATTACAACTATAAATTCCAAGAGGAAGTGGACAAACAGTATACACCCTTTTATCTCTTGACATATAGTGCTTATACAGTAGTTGTTTTTTGCGTGTTGTTTCCTTTCGGCTGGTTTGGGGGTCTGGGCGCTCACATCCCAATCCACTATCCTGTAGTCTGCCATCTTGGGCATGCACTAGGGTTACGTTCATTACGCTCCCGCAGATTAGCGGAGGTCCAAGAAGGCAGCTGTAATTAGGTCCAAGAAGTCTTCCATTTCGGGGTCTGTTCGGGAGCTTCCATGGAATCGCCTGGAGGGGAATCCTCATGGCCACATCTGCGAGCCAGCATTAGGACATCCACATCAAGGGGGAGGTGCGGCAACCGCGACGGTTCGGGGGTAGTGGAAGCCCTGTGCCCATTTCCAAGGTCCTTCGAGCCAAACACCCAAACACCATCCCTCTACACGATGTATGGCTCATGCATAGATGGTGCATGCCCATTGTGGCTATGGGAAGTCGGCCCCTAGTTTGAGTGTGCCCAGAGCATGTTTTTGAGGTGCATCATGGAATCTTCGGGGGGGCTATGGGGGGGGGCTATCCCTGGATAACCCAAGGATAAGCCTTAATAAGGCCTTATTCAGTGCTTCACAAGGGAGCGCATCGAACCCGAGTCGCGCCGAAAAAGTCGATTCGCCGAGTCGATTCGCCGAAAAGCCGAGGCATACCATCGCGAACCTCTGCTGGGCCTTCGCGAAGTCGAAGAATCACAACCCCCAGCTCTTCGAACTGAGCCTCGCCAGTCTCAGAGGGGGGGGGGGAAAGGGGGGACTAAGGCTAGAGTAACCCCAGCAACCCTAAGGAAGCCGAAAGAACCCTTTAGTGAATTCCCAAGGGGGGGGGTCTTCCTAGGCGGAGGGCGGCGACCCCTCACCGCCCCCCCACCCGGGCGGGGCAAAATATGGTTTAAGCACCACCTTTACAAGGGGAGAATCATCATAACCAGTGGTTTAAACATGTTTAAACCAATGGGTGGCCCCACCCTACTCCCCACTTTTGCAAATGGACTGCATCTTAAAAAATATGTGCCCCCCAATCCCAGCTGCTCCTTTGGTGCAGGCACCCCGGAGTGCAGGAAGTGACACCAAAAGCAAAGCCTCACGCTCCTGGCTGGGCGGAGTACTCTCAAAAAACCTCTTGGCAAATCATTTATGGAATGCCTGTACAAGGGTTCCCCAGATTTCCCTACGGTTCCTTGCGAAAGACTTTCCGAGACCTCCGGCGGTGCTCGGTTTTCCTGGTCATTTTTCGGGATTCCCCTTCAAATATTCTGCAACCAGAAGGAGGGGCCGATGATTGTTTCCCTTGGCTGGTCTGGAAAGGGTTTCATGGCACACGCGGAGCAAGGAAGATGTGCCAAAAGTCGCCGCAGAGTTGAGCACGAGGTAGCTACTCCTTGGGTTCGGAGTCGGAGGAATTTCAGTGATGACCCACTGGCCTCCGAAGAAAAGGAGCAACGTTCCAACTTGAACAACACATATAGGTCTGTCTTTTCTTGAGGGTGCCCCAGCGTTGGTTGATGTTTAAGGGAAACTAACAGGATGGGGCTATGGAGGGTGGAAGGACAAAGCCCTTAAGGCCTTATTAAGGGATTAATGAGGGATAGCCTCCTACCCAGATTGCTCCAAGAGGGCCATGGGAATAGTTACAACCGCTGCAAGGGCACAGGGGGACAGAGAGTCTAGGCCCAGGCGAATGAAGCAAATGGAAAATTGCCCTTGACACAAATTGGTACGGGTCAACAGTTTAACCAGGGGAAAGCAGGTTGTAGTCCATGCTTCCATTTGCTTGGCTTCCATGCTTTTGGCACCTATTTTTACGACCCGCGCGGAAATCATACCACAAGAATGCACGAAACGATTCGCACTCTAGGTGGTTTGGGACCATCGTGCATCTTTGACACAACCGACTCACAAACAACAATACATTGACATGTGCAGCCAGGTTTACCTAGTGTCTCCATGACCCTCTTAAAAATGAGATCATTACCCTAAATAATGGGGTCATGGACCTATTTTTAAAGGGTCAGAAGGAGACTCCAGGTAGTGTTAAAGACTCAGGTCCTTAGCTAGGTCCCCCAGCTAGGTGCCCTTTCTCACCCTTTTTTGGGGGAGGGTTCCCCTGCAAAAATCGACTGCAGAAAAAACCTCGGGTACCCTTATTCTAACCTCTCGACTGGAGCACCTAGTTAGCGCATACCAGTGGGGTGAGCTCGCAACTCGCGCGAAACGAGGTTGGCAAGGAGGTCCATCGAATCCTGCCACGCCTTCGACCGCCAAAGCGTCGCCTGGCGCGTGGTTCCGTGGTTCCGGCGCCGGCGCCGTTTGGACGCTTTGGGCGGTCAGAGCCTTCCCCATTTCCCCCTCAATTCATGACCCCGCGCCAGTAGCGTTGGTACACAGACACGCTTGACTTGTTATATTTTGTGTCACTTCACATCCTTTGCAGAAGGCCCCTTACGATGTTGTTTTGAGATGCTCTTCGTTCCTTAACCCTAAATACTGCACTAATTATGCCGCCAACCATTACAATTGTTTTCTTGCTTTCTACTTTCAATGTCTGAGGCATCAAGCTTTCTGTGGCCGTTTTTTTGCGCGCAAATGGCGCAACACATTGGCAGGCTTAATTACGCTGTTGGATTGTCCTCATTATCTTGTTCAACCAGCCAAACGGCATCGATTTGCAGGGGTCTAAGTCCTTGGTTGAGCACTTGGCTTTGGAGCTAATTTCCGTGAGAATTACCAAGGAAGGCCCTGTGTTAAGTCATGCAGTAGTCATGGGGATGGCCTACTTTGGTATTATAGACCGGGTGTTGCCCACAAACACGTCTAAGCCTGGCCCAAGCATATGCCCAAAGCTGACCTTTTGACCTCTTGGTTTGCCCTTTTTGGTCCACTTTTAGTCATAACTCTAAAAGGTTTAAAAGGTTATTTCTGGGTCCCTCAGGGGCAACTGAGTAGTGTTGCAGTGCCGGGCTGCGTGTGATCTTGAGGTGTCGAATTTGGTCTGGGCTTATGCCACGCTGGATGTATGCAACGAAGAGCTCTTCGCGGTCTTCGCAAACTATGCGGACGCTTGGACAAACCCAAGATCTCTAACATGCTTGACTGCTATTGAGTTGGATCTTTAGACTTTAATTTTGGTTGAAATCAAGTTGGGTTTTCCACTAAATCCCCCCAAAAGTTGCACTTTTTGCACGGGGTCAACAGCAACCAAGAATGGGTATGGGTCAAAATGGAACCAGCAGGGGACCACAGGGTTTAGTCCTTGGTTCCACTTACCAGGTTCCATGTTCGTAACCTATTTTTGACCCACAGCCAAATGACATGGTTTATCATTGTAAGACGGGTGGAAAGCGGAAGCCATCAGCCTTGGTCTGCAAAAGCTTAGGCATCACCAGTTTCTACCCCTTTGTGCCCTGGTTTCCAAAGAAACAACATGCCTTAATAGGGCCCGCATTTGGACTGCATCTTAGAGAAACAAGGGAGGGCCAGTTGCTGAGGACGAGGAGGTGGGGGCGGGGCTTGTGATCCTATGATGTATGATGTACATTCATGTTGTGGCCTCCTCACTTGGAATTCTCTCTTTGGGGGAAATTGAATTCCTCGTGGCAACCAAGCATGAAGGTCTCTGAACCTTTTTTGCGGTCGGCTTCTTCTTCCCGCTAACATTGTTCCTCAGCCTCCCTTGAAGTGTGTGGGTAGAAAACCAATGTTCATGTACATATCAGGGCACTCCTTCTGAGATTTTCTGATTGGAATGCATGCCCCCCAGAAACCAGATTCTGAAACTGGATTCCGAAATTCTCTTCAAGGTATGGAACCCTCACCCCATACTTGACAGTAGGACCGGCCCAGAACAACCAGATCAGGCGGGCGTTCCCTTTTTCAGCCCCCGATTTCAACTCATTTCATGTTGGGGTCGACCTGTAGCATCGCCTTTCAGATCGACAGCGGGCTGTGGCGGGACTTCTCCCCGCAGATGGCCTCCAATATGCTCTGGGCCTATGGGAAGGCCGGAGGTCCGAAGAAAATGCGTCGACGTCCTTCGGCTCGCTGGGGTGCCGCCGAGGCTTGGGCTTTGAACCCAAGCGGGTTTGATCCATGGCTCTCACTGGAGTTTCAGGGACACGGAGCGATAGAGTGACTTTGTGGGCTTGGACTGTTGGACCATTTTAGTGGCAAAGAAGAACTTTGGATCTTGTTTTGTGACTTGCTAAGTTGTTTGAATATTTCATTATTGCTGTTTTTTCCTGAGTTCCTGGAATCTTGCCTCCTTGAGAAGGCAGTTTTAGTGGCAAGCGCAGAGTTGGGACTTGTTTTTTTGCGAATCCACTCAGAAAGTGAGTCTGAGCAGGCAACCAGCCATTGTCAGGGTTGGTTTGTAAAGGAAGGTGTTGCACAGGTAAATGGGATAGCTGGGCTACTTGTTGGGGATGGCTTTGAAGTCCGCCCACACAGATGCATGCACGTTTTCCCTTGGTACCGATGGTGTTTTTTGTTTTCCAATCAAATGGGCCTTCTGCCCACTTCCGTAATTGGAAAGAGGCTATGTTATATGGTAGCCTTTGCCAGGACCGATTTGGATTGTGTTTGGAGCCGCCTTTTGATTGGTTTGATGGGGACCGCAACAGGATACCAACCAATGTGGGGGTCCCCCAAGGCCCTGCGACCCCGTTCGCGAGTTTGAAGCAGCTTACTTGGCCAAGGGGAATCGACCCTTGGACAGGCTTAGTGGTGGAGCCAACATTCAAGTTTAGGCCAGTTTGAATGGATGGGGTTTGAACTGAGCCAATTTGAGAGATGACAGGTGGGCATTGCGCACATGCGTCTCTTCGACACCTTCGCGGAGTTCGTCGCCATCAACATCGAGTCCTTCGACAATCAGCGGCTTGGAAGAACGATTCGACCGCGCTCTCTAGGGCTCTAGGGTCAGACCTCTCGGGAAACCCCTACCAGGTCGCCCAGCTAGGTGCCCCTTCTCACCTTTTTTTGGGGGGAGGGTCCCCCTACGGAACGGCGTAGTAGCTCACATCACAAGAAGGCTCATGTTTGCAAATGCCAATCAGTACCCGCAGGACATCGCAGGACACTGGCTAGCCAAAAGCAGGCAAGAGACAGGCAGTCAGGATACCTGAAGACGTTTTGGCCCATCAACAAACTGGTTTATACGTGTACCAGATGGTGTTAGCGTGAATCCTAGCAAGCCACAGCTCAGTTTACGAGAGACCCGGGCGCCGGGCTCATAGCTTACTTTTTTGCCCCTGCCACATAGAACCGCAGAGAACACCAAACACATGACATGCATTCGGTAGATTTTCCCTAAATATTTGCAGACGATCAAGCCACTTGAACTTGGATGGTTGTTGTCTATTTATCTACCAGGGGGTCCAAACTTGTCCAACCCACAGAGATAAGCTGAATTCGCCAATTTGGGAGGCCAAAGCCGTTACGCCTTGAGGCAAAGTTTGAACTGTTCATTGGCTCCAGTTTTGAAAGGCCCCCTTTCCCAGGCGATCCCCCGAAATTTGGGCTCAGTGCTTTGACCGTTGTGGCTTCTCAAAGTGGGACACCGGGTTCAAGGGAAGCCCCTACTTTTATGGGGGAGTAGTCTTTGGAGGGCCTTTTTGTTGTATCACAGAAGTGGTCATTTCCCGCAGCCCTGACCGGGACGGTTTGTTTCCTACCTACAAACGGGGTGCCATTTGGACGCATTCGCACATGTGAGAGGAACATTGCCAACACTGCCTGGGCCTATGCCACGACTCAGCTGCCAAGCGACTCAGCTGCCGCAGGTTTTGCTGAATCCCTTGCAACCAAAGCGAATCGACTGGATCTGACCGGATCTTGTTTTTCCTTGGTCCATTTGAAGTCATGGCCTCAAAAGATGTTCACCTTTTGTTTCTAGGTCTTCCGGGCGACTGAGTTTCTGATGATTTGATGCATTCCAGGCGGGCACAAGGGACATGATCCAAGATGAGACGGTGGCTTGACCCACATTTTGACGCCCGAATTCGTAGATCGTCAGAGGCCAGCAAAGAGAAGGGATTGGCATACCCAGTTCCGTTCCTTTCTGTAGCCAAGGGATCCAACCTTTCGCAAAACAAAATGCGGCTGCACTGGCGCTTGGCTTCAGTGGAACCGAGTCTCCTCCCCCTTACCCTTCCTTCCACGTTGCCATGGCACCTGTGGGAGGGCACCTAGATTGGTTTTCAAGGGAAGCCATCTGGTGGGTCAATGCTATCCCATTTTGGGGTTTTCGGTGCACTACCCAGTTTAGAACCGATTTTTGTGGGGGTTGAATCGGATGCTCACTGGGGCTACGATTTGGAGTTTGACCCCTGGCCATCTAGCGGCTTTGAGGCGAGCAAGTCTTCGACCTCCTCACGCGCCGCGCTTTGGGGCGCCTTGCCACCTTCCGCCTAGATGAGCTTTGCGGCCTCATGTGCGGGCCCCAGACGGCGAAGTTTGTGTGGCTCAAAATGAAAGACCTAGGCAGGGTTTAGTCTTTGGTTCCATTTGCCAAGGTGCCATTTTGGTACATTTACTTGAGCCACAGCCAAAGGATCAATAGAGGGCTGTTATCGCAGGCGCGCATTTCACGGCTGCTTCGCGCCTGTTTGTGGCGGTTTGCCTTAATGTCTACGTCTCTTCTACGTGGTTTCTGCAGCTTGTTGTGCCTTTTTGGTGGTCGCTGCGGCTTTTGTTTGGCTTTTCAGCGTTTTATTGGGGGGGCAAACTAGCCGGGCTTGCGGCAAAAGGACTGGGTGGCTCCAACAACTCCGGACGAGAACTTTTGGGCTACACCATGGACCTATGGGAAAGGGGACTGTCAGTCCTATGCAATATTTGCCCACACGTACTCTCATGGTCAAATCTTGCGTAGTATACCTACATGGATTGTGCGGGAATGAAAGCCTTCAAGGTATCAGAATCAGAGGCTTATCCTCTGGGATAGCCCATGTCTAAGGCATTCATAAGCAACGAAATTTGAGCCATCAGCACACACACAGAAGGTTCCTTCGCACCTGTTTCCTCTGAGCCTTTGGCAGAATGATCCGTTTTCGGTCCCACAAGAAAGCCTGCGTTTCATGGGGTCTGGGGGCGGGGGTTCAGGCATGTCGGCCACTGGCGTCTTGGTGGGGTGATTGTTTTTTTAGGGGACGTGTGAGGAACCTACGACGCCTCGTTAGTCCATTTTGCCGGACCCTAAAAAGTACTCAACAAGTACGCAAAAAAAAACAATCGGCCCCAAATCAAATCGGAACCTTCTTGACAACCCCAAGCTTCTTGTGGGACCTGAAGGCAACAATTCAGTCAACCCCTAATTGGTGGTTTGGACTGGTGGTTTGGAGGTTAGGGGATGGTTTCCCATGTGCCCTCCACAAGAGCCAGGGGTTCATATCCAAATCCAAACCACCTGAACACTTGGGTAACAAGCAGCTGGGGGTTGCTTTTGCAACACATCCCATTGGAGTTCAATCGCCTGCGTTTGCGCGGCGTATCCGCACCCGCTTAAGAATGGGACTGGAGGAGTTGGCTGAGGTGGGCCTATGTGAGGGCGAAGCCGGACACTGCCGCGCGCCCGATGGCGACTCCAGGGAACCCTTCTGCTGTTGATGTGTGCTAGCTGTTTGCCCGACTTGTCGAAGCCAGATACTAACTAAGGTCCAAAGTGTGTGGCACGTTGTCCTCAACAGCTTATTGGATGGATGGCTGTTCTTAGACTGCCCCCTCAATCATAGGATGCATGGCTGTTCTACTTGTTCCGGCGAACCATCCATCCACACTCCAGACATTGTAATTTTACCTAAGGCAACAGGGAAGAAGGACCATTGAAACGTAACCTTGCTGCGTTTGGAGGTTGACACCATGTTCCATACAGCTTTTAGTTTTCTCAAAAGGAACGTATTGGGATGGATAGCTTGAGCTCAATCTGATATTTTCCCAGAGCCCCCCTGGAAAAACCAATAGATAAAGAAAACAAAAACTGGTACCATTGCTGTGCTCTTCTTGCTACCCTTTGACCTGCGGGTACAAGTTGGATCCGTCACAACCAGGATTATAACCAGGATTATAACCGAAGAGCTGGTCGGTCGAGAGTTTTTAACATAGCTGGTCTGTGGTGGGACCCTAGCCTCTTATACCATTTGGGGTGCAACTGGCTTGGTTACTTAGAGGGGATCCCCCTTTATGTGATAAGATGGGAATCCACTTTGGGTATTACAAAGGGGCTCATTTTTGTTGGTTGGACCTAGGTTCTGCTTCTTGGATGACCTGCCAATGAATGGGTGAAAAGGGTGGTCAAATAAATACGTGAGGGCTTTCCTGTAGCAACCTCTTTTTTTTAGAATTGCGAGCTAGACCGCACCCGATAACAGTTGTTATGTTGTTTTTGTTTAGGACACATGTCCACAATATGTCACAAACAGATTACTTGTGCCTGGTGATGTCAATTTTTGTTTGTGATGGTTTGGGGGCTAAACCTCTGGTTCCAAATCGATGAGGAATTTGGGGCAGGCTGAGACGTGAAGCCACCTTTTTTGTTTCCAAGCTTCGGCACAAAGGCCTTGCCGCATTGCCCACATGAGACTTTTGCGGCTTTGCACGCCTGGAACCTTGTTGGCTCAGCGAAAGTTGACTTTGCCAGCCATACCGGGCCATACTTTCAGGTGTTTGGAGTTAGGGCCTGAGTTGAGGATGTACGTTGACCCCGTTTTGGCCAGGACATCCTCCGGTGCCTGGACCCTGGCGGGATTTTATGACATAGCTCATAGGATTTTATGACACAGCCCACACTTGAGGGTTTTGTTGTCATTTTGTACTCCCGTGTAATACAAAAAAGCCCAGTGGAGGACCATTGCTTAAGAACCATTGTTTTATTTTATTTGCCCTTGCTGGTTTTAAAGGGAATCTATCACTACTGGAAATATGCGTTATTCTTTCCAGGGGGCGCAAAAGCAAATGGAAGGTACATAATTTCTAAATTGACTGCTATTGGGTTGGATCTTTAGACCTCAACTTTTTGGTTGAAATCAAGAGGGTTTCCACTAAATCCACAACAAGCTAAACTTACGGGAAATGGACATGGAAATGGAATCTATCACTACTGGGTGGAAGGGGTGAGGTGGGTTGGGGATTCCTGGTTTATTCTTTCCAGGGGGTGCAAAAGCAAATGGCAGCATACGGGGCTCAAAATAGTTGTTTTCCTTGTGGCTTCCCCTTCGACAATTAACAAAAGGGCGTTTCCTGAATAAGCCTTGGCTCGACCCCCAAAAAAGTGGGTTCCCTACTGAAAACAAAAAAAGCGCTAAATCCACAAAAAAATCAGCAAACAAGTCCACAAGCATCCACAAAACTCCGCAGAAATCCGCAAACATCCGCAAACATCCGCAAACATCAAGTAAAATCCGCCAAAAATCCACCAAAAATGCACCAAACGCGACGCCTCAGGTCGCCTTCAGCCCCATCTTCGAGGAGGCGGTGCAGCTGCTGCTGCCGCGGGTGGCCACGTTGGACCCGCAGAGCGTGGCCAACGCGCCTGGGGCGAAGCGGGGGGGTGCGGGGTGTTGACGTGGCCTGGAGCTAGGGGTAGCTTCCGGGGAGGGGGGCGGGGCCCAAAAATGCCATTTGTCTAAAGGGAAAATGGATCCAGAAATGGAATTGACTTTTTCTAGGCCTACCTTCCATGTCCATTCTTTCCAGGGATCCTTCTTTCTAGAAAACCTCCGGAAACCCAGGGATTACGAATCCGGTTTTGGAAAGAACGATGGTTGAAAAAACTGGGGAATCAACCCCTAGACTGAAGCCACCCTACGCTTGGGGCGGTCGTAATATCGGGAACCACCCCCCCCTCCCCCCTCCCAAAAAAAAAAGAAGAAAAGACAGCCACTAAGCAGGGGTTAACCAAGGTTAGTGGGAGGGTTGGGCTCCGAAGAGCCCAAAGCCTGCACCACTTGGCAGCTGGTGCACCCTAGTATTCAATATGGTTTTCATCAACCCGAACTGGCGCGGCTTTATCCGTTTTCCCCCCCCCCCCGATGGGTTGGTCTCTGTTTCTGAGTTCCTGGACTTGATAGCCAATTGACATGGAACCTGACGTTGGGGGAGGTCCTGGAAGACCGTTTTCACTTTACAGGCACCACCTGTCCAGCTCCATGGTACTTTGTGGGAAGTTACTTTTTGGGAAGGTCCGTTTTGCGGTAAAACAAAAAACAACAACTTCTGCCTTTGGGCACAAAAATCGCCCCGCGCCCGAAACTCACGGGGCTCTGAACATGGTTGCTCTGCGAGCAACGCCTCTGATCTTCGCAAGTATTGCAGGGCTCCTTAAAAGATACATGTTGCCCATTTGAAACATGGCTTTTTCCACCCAAATAAAGGGAAACCACCATGTACAAGGCAAACGCTCAGGTGTACAATGTAAGAGTCCCTGTAATGTTGGCCCCGGATGAATAGACCCCTATTTGTTAATATGAGGGCTGTTCCCCTCCAAAAGGGAGAAATCCCCACCAAAACCAGGGGCACCGCCATAGTGGCAAACAGGGGCCTATAAAGCTGGCGCCAACATTACTAGAACCCCTCTTCTCACTTGCCCAAAGCCGACCGGACCTGACTGGATCCGGTTTCCCGTTCTTGGGACTCATTTGTACTCGTGGCCTACTTGTAGCTCCTTTGGGCAAGTGAGTTTGTCCATGCGGCGCCAAAATGCTTAGGGCTTCCATTGGCGCATTCGGCAGATGCATGGCCTTTTTGCCGACACATTTCTCAGAATAGGGGTGGATGGTTTAAAGGGCAAAAGGAGCAAGCGCCTGAAGAATGTGGGAGAAGCTTTTTGTTGCGCTTCGCAAATGAATCAATTACGAAGCATTTCCTTGAGGCACCATTCGGCCCGACGTGGAATTTCTTTGTCCTGTAGAAATCCTTTCGTAGGTTCCCAGCTCCAAGCTGTTTCCTGCATCCTGCAACCTTCTTAGATTCTTGAAGGCAAGTTTGGTTTTTTGGAAGGCATCGACTATGTCACTATGTGTGCATGGCACCCCACCCCAACCCCCACCCCCACCCCCACCCCGACCCCCACCCCCCCCACTCCACCCCCACCCCCACCCCCGCCCCCGCCCCCACCCCCACCCCCACTCCCACTCCCACTCCCACCCCCACCCCACCCCACCCCACCCCACCCCACCCCACCCCACCCCACCCCACCCCACCGCCCCTCCACGCCCCACCATTCTAAGTATTCTAAATGCAAAATGTTTTCCAACATTCTGGAAAGTAGACCCCAACAATTCAGAATTAGGACATCCACAACATTTTTTGACATGTGTTCTTGGATTTCCCACTCCTGTTTTGGGGGGCCACCCCACCACCACCCCACCTCACCCCACCCCACCACCACCCCACCACTCCCCACCAACCTTACCCCTCACACAGCCGTGAATGAGGTGATTTGGGTCCTCGCCACCTGCCAGCAGCTGCGCTCCGAGCCGGTGCCTGGCGCCAGGGAGTTGGTGGACCAAGCCTCAGCCCGATGGGAAAGCCCGGGTCCGATGGGCGGCCGAGGTCTTTGTTTGATTCGTTCCTATGGGCTTGCCTTACGTGTTTTGTTTCCTTCTTGGTTTGCTTTTCTTCTGTGTTTGGGTCCTCCTTTTCTTTTTTTTGTTCTTCCAAATTTCCTCTATTCTGCTTATTTCTTGCGATTGACTCCACTTGGACGTTCAATTCACTTAGAAAGTACTGTGGGTGGACAAGTCCATCATCCACCAGGTGGAATGGATGAAGCCCTGTGAACAGCGAATTGAACGGCCAATTTGGTAACGGGTGTTGGTTCAGCCCTGGTTGCCCCGCTTGCAACCTTGGTTGCAGCCCACTTGCTCAGTACGTAGAACATCCAAATGCGGCAGCTTCTTTCCTTTTTTTGATCCTTTTTTCCAGAAAAGCATAAAACTCCAACGGGAAAGTGCCAGGTTGTTGACAAGAACAATAGCTGAACAGAATGGGTGGGTCAACCCCTGAAGTGTCTCAAAAATCTAGAAGCCACACAGACATGGTTGGTTTCCCTTTTGGCTTCCCTTGAGGGTTGGGGGGATGACAGGTTTGTGCTTCGGCTTCTTCCTGCAGATTCAGGGTGTCACCTCGTTTGCGATGGGCAAATTCTCCCATCGCGACCTCTTACCGTTTTTTCTTCAGGGGCCGCTTCTTGCCCCATGGCGAAGCAGGTGCATAGGTGTCCTTTTCGGTTGTCTTGGCAGAACAAATAGATGGCGACTCCTGGTTTCCCTGGTGGTTTATCACCTACCAGGGAAGCCCCATGCATTTGCTTGCCCTAACAGGACACCCAGCAGGTGTTTCTCGCAGATTAGACATGAGACGGCTTGGCATGGACCCCTAGTTGCAAGGCTCAGCCACTGGGGCCCACGGGCCACCTTGAGAAAGACGCGGGCCGAGGGAAGGACCCGAAGGCGAAGCCTTCCGAAATTAACTATCCACTGGTTTGGGTAGTTGTTTTTGTTTTTAATGATTATTGGCATTACTATTATTGTTATTACTATTATTATTATTATTATTAGGGGTATTATCATTTTGACTATGGTTATTATGATCATTCATCATTATGCATGATAGACATTCACCTCATCGTACTCCTACACCTCCGGACTCAAGGAGTTTGACATGTGAAACTCGCTAGTGCATCCGGAGAACTTGTCTGAATCTCAGAGTCTCATGGGCCAAGGGCTACCCTCTAAACCAAGGACTGCGCGTTCAAAGCCCATGGGATACAAGTTTTGGTTGGTAGGTGAATTCACCACCCATTTTAGCGATTTTAGAACCTATTTTAGTTTAGTGGTTGGATTGAATCGGATGTTCAATGGGGCTACGGAATTTGGGATTTTGACCCATGGCCATGTGGGCAGTCCAGCCATGAGCAGGCCTTGCTGCTCCACACGGATTGGGTCCAAGAGCCCTTGTGTTCAGTCTCTTCTAGGTCCCCCGGCCCGGTAGTGCCCTTTTGCCATTTTTTTCGGGGGTACCCTTATTCTAACCTTTCCACTGGAGGACCTAGTCTTTACCCTGGGCAGATGTTCGCTATCTTTTCAAACGCCAACCCCCAAAGCTGTCCGAATCACAACTTCCCAATTCTTAGTGGGGCTCAAGGGGTCAGCAGTGAACATCTCTCCCAACCCCGAACCCCGGTTGCTGTTGGTCCACCGTTACCCCGCGAAATAGATGCAGCGAAGTGGAGGACTGGTGGGTTTCGCTCAAGACTCGCGACTCGAATCCGCAGCTTTCAGCTCCCATGACCTGAGCGCACGGAGCCCCCCGCCCCTTCGGGGCCGGCCGGCCGGCCTGCCTTGAGGTGTCAGGACGGGGTTTCTGGGTCTCGCCTCATGGGTGCCCTTTTACCCTTTTGGGGATGGCTCCCCTACTAAAATAGACGTCCAGAAAAAAAGAATCGGGTACCAACTTAATCTATCGTCTCAAATCTGGAGGACCTAGTTCAACCCCACCCCTCCCCACCCACCCCTCCCCACCCACCCCTCCCCACCCCACTTTTCGGATCCGACGTCGAGTCGCCGGCAGGAGCTCCATGGCGCAGCTGATCTGCGGGAAGTTTCAGGTCTCCGAGAAGATCGGCTCGGGCTCCTTCGGGGACATCTACATGGGCCGGGACCTCGGGACCTCGGGACCTCGGGAGGGCGCCTTCTCCGCTTGACTGCCATTGGGCAACGGATCTTTGGACTTTGACTGTTGAAATCCAGTTGGGTTTTCCACTAAACCCCCAAAAAATGAGACTCACCTTTGGCAGGGGGTCAACAGCAACCCAACCCTCCGAACCCCCCCCCCCGCCCCCCGCCATTTGCCCCTTCCATGGGCCCCATTTGCCACCCTTTGCCCCCCTCTCCCCCCCTTTTTTTCCCCTTTGCCCCGGAAAAAAGAAAGGAAGTCCGATTTAACATGGGCGTGATGGGCTTTTGATTGGGGTAACGGGGGCTGGCGCCCTTGCCATGTGCGTAACCTACCCGAACAGCTTGAAAGCCCACCTGGGGGACCGGGTAGGAAGATCTGTGGCCCTCAGCTTCCAAACTGCACAAAGACTTGCTGTCTAGATGTTTCGCAGGTTTCGCCGGGCTTAAGTCCACCCAGGGGTCAAAACACATGGAAGGCTTCACTCCAGCTGACCGCTGCAGCCGGCGGTTTCATTTGAGGCACCAACATCACCACGGGGGCCCCGGTGGCCATAAAGCTGGAGTCCGTGCGAGCGCAGCACCCCCTGCTGGTCTTCGAGTCCAAACTCTACAAGCTGATCTCCAACGGGGTCACTCGGCAACTTGAGCCAGGTCCCCCAGCGATCGGTGCCCGTTCTTTTACCGGTTCTTTTTTGGTTGACGGAGGGGGAACCCCCTACTAAAATAGATCACAGAAAAAAATGGGTACCCTTCTTCTAACCTCTCAAATCTGGAGGACCTAGTTGAGGCATCCCGTGGACAGAACACACCCAATCCGTGTAGGTGTCCTATCATTTGTCCCATTTGGAGGCCAAATATGGGTAAATCTTATCACACATGCGCTGTTTAGGATCCCCCTGGTTGAACCCGCAGAGCCGAAGGTTGCATCTTTGAGATTCGCTGAGACTTCATGTTTAAGGTTGCGCAAATGTGGCCAGAATGTATGCTCAAATGTAAACCAAGGTTGCGCAAATGTGGCCTTGTTTAATTCATCTTGCGCAATGTTTGGCAACAGCTGGGCTAGCTTTGGGTTGAAGCGCGTGAGCTGACGAGCTGAGGTGCAGATTCCGGCGGTGCACTGGTATGGCGTGGAGGGGGAGTACAACGTCATGGTCATCGACTTGTTGGGCCCTTCTTTGGAGGATGCAGGGAAGCCGGGGGAATGGTCCATAGGAACCATAGGGGCGGCCCAAAAATCGGGGCATGTGTCATGGAACCCTGGCAGATGGAAATAAGCTCAGGTGATATCCCCAACAGCATGCGGTGCTCTTTTTAGACCCCGCAGCCCTCGTGAATCCCTCGTGGATGGTGGAACCCTCGTGGAACCCTCGTGGAACTCTCGTGGAACCTTACCTCAGGTCCGCCCCGAACCACCCCAGAGCCTATCTGGGCTGAGACCCCAAAGCTTTCAGCTGTTGGGGAAGCAGTACACCTAACACCTGCAGTTGATCTAGACTATGTCCCCCTATAGTGCCCTTGTACCCTTTTTTTGGGGGGAGGGTTCCCCTTATAAAATAGACTGCAGAAAAAAGTTGGTACCCTTGTTCTAACCTCCCTACTGGAGGACCTAGGAACCCGGGCGAATGGAAAACTAAGACCTGCAGTTGATCGAGACATGTTCCAATTCTTCCCCCCTGCAAAGGAGAGCCTCAAAAAGAGGGGACCCCCCCAATCACAAATCAACCAGGGGTTCACTTTGGTGGATTTTGCTTGGATGTTAGGACTCTAACTTGTTGTTGCCAACTCATGGGTTTTCCATTAAACCACTAAAAGTTTTAAAAACAGAAACAACTTTTAGCAGGGGAGCAGAACGCGACCAAGTTATCCAGAACCCCCCCCCCAATCACAAATCAACCAGAATTTTGCTTCTCCGAGGTTCCCATTGTCGTGGGACCCGCCCTATTCGTCCGCAGGACCTCTTCAACTTCTGCGACCGGAAGTTCTCCCAGAAGACCATTGCGGCCATCGGCCAGCAGATGATCGACGCCATCGAGTACGTGCACTCCAGGGGCTTTTTGCTGCTTGCCGGAAGTCCAGAAATTTCTAGGTCCCCCAGTCGTGCCCTTTCTCACCCCCTTTTTTGGTTGGGTGGGTTCCCCGACTAAAATAGACTACAGAGAAAAACTCGGGTACCCTTATTCTAACCTCTCTACTGGAGGGCCTGGATTGCCAGGGAGCCCCTTTACAGCCTTTGGGGTCTCCCAAGAGGGGAGTCCGCAAAAGCGGCCATTTAGGTTCCCCCCCGTTGCTTTCAATAAGAATAGGTCCCTGTTTTTTCCAGGCGACTCAAGCAAATGGAGGTTAAGTACGGTGCTTCGTTGGGCTCCATTTCGGGGTAAGCTGGACCGAAAGAAACCTGCAACCGGGTGAAACACGTATCCTGACTATACTATACTGAAAGGACTGAACAATGGGGGACGCAGATCTGATATCCATCAGCCTGCAAAACTGATAGGGGCCCACCCAGCAAAACTCGTCCTTACATATGTGAATCCTTGCAAGAGTTTCCTTTACACTGCAAATGTGTAACAGTGCAGCGGTTGAGCTTGTGGTAGGTGCAGCGTGGGGTTGGTTCTCCATGAGAGATACATTTCGTGGGTTCCTTGGGTTGCACTTGGAACTTTTTGTAGGTACAGTATGAGCTTGCCTCAAAATGGACTATGAACTCCAAGCAGACAAGCTCTGTGTGTGTTTCCAACCAGTGGGAAGACATTCAACCAAGAAACCTTGCAGGACCCATGGCGTTTGCTGCTTGGTGGTTTGGATTGGCTGCTTGGTGGTTAGGTAGTTTCCCATTTACCTTTCATGTTCAAAATCCCAAGCCACCAATCCAGCCCAACCAGGGGAGGCTGATGTTGATTACTTGTTTTGCATTGTTTGACCTTGCCGGTGGCAAGTGAAAGCCAACCAAAAGACGTATTTTCTGCTGACAGTGGTGGTGTCATTGGTAGACAGAAGCCAGACCGCGTCCTGTTTTCCTTCCTTTGCGAGGGCTTCCTTTCAAAACAGGGTGCTGGAGAGCTCGTAATTCCCAATTCACACAACGTGGAACCTGCGCAAAATGTAACAAGCTGGGGATCAAACGAGCTCACCGACGAAAGTCGTGTGTTGATGTTTGACTTCCGCGTGAATTTGACCAGAATAGCCTCCTTTATGATCAGTAGTTGAGTTACCAGCAATTTGAGTGATGTCTGACTTCCGAGTCTGTCTCAAAAAAACACACCAACAACAAAAAAACGCCTCAGTTTCCCCTTTAAAATCTTTGACAGACCAACCCACAGCGGGCACCCCTCACACAGACGACACCACCCCCCATGCATGTTTCCCGGGCAGAGGGTAGAAGTGACCTGAGGCACCGCGACATCAAGCCGGAGAATTTCCTCATGGGGGTACAGAAGAAGGCGCCCGGGGACATTTGCCGCGGGCGTCTTTTATTGGAGGGTAGCTCCCTCGGTTTGGGAGGTCGGGCTTGTTTTGTGGGACCCGTTTCCCTTTAAAAGGGAAACCATTTGGAAACCCTACCCGTTTTGGGGGGTCCCATTTCACGCCCATTTAGGTTTACGTCAGTCTCCAGTTCCCCAAAAAGGCTTGGTACCTCTACAGGGCGGGCTCTAAGGTGCCTACCCAAATGGAGGTCCTGACCTTGGAGTGCCCAATGGTTGGGTCAGATTGGACACAGTCCCTTGCGGCTGCCGTTTGCTCTCATCCGACTCCTGGTTAAGACATGCCATGGTCGCGTGAAATCCGATTTTAGGGCCACTTGCTGTGATACAAGGGAGTACCCATGCCATATCCCAGAAAAGGGCGACTTTCCACATCCATGACTCAACACATCGAGCCCCAAAAGTGGGTCTTTGTAAAAGGAACGGTTTCTGGACATCATGTTGTTGTTTGTTTGGGGGGGCCCATGTGAATCTTCAGAGCAACAAAAACCGGAATTATCCTGGGTGCAAAGCACCTGAACGGATTCCTGGCGCAAGGCCGGGGATGTGTACATCATCGACTTTGGCCTCGCGAAACGTTACCGGAACCCCAGGACCGAAAGAAACGCCAAAGGCCCACCCCCCACCCCTCCAACACGCCCCCCACCCCTCCAACACACCCACACCCAGACTGACAGAGTCCAAAGCCAACCATTCCCGTTCGGGAAGTACGGCGACATGGATGGGCGCTGAAGAGTCGCTGAATTGAAGTAACGCTCAGGTGTGGACCTTCATTTGCCAAGCATAGGTGTCCTTTTTGGTTGTTTTGGTAGAAGAATAGATGGCCCTGATTTACCTGATGGTTTATCATCTACCAGGGAAACTCATCTATTTGCCCGACAAGGACACCTATGTTGCCAAGGTTAACCTTTCTTTGGTGCATTTTGCTTGGCTGTTAGGACTTTAACTTTTTGCCAACTAGTGGGTTTTCCACTAAACCACTAAAAGTTAAACTTTTAGCAGGCGAGCAGAAAGCAACCGAGCTTTCACTGGTTCACCTCGAACCCTTTCCAGGTTGAACATCAGGACAGCATGGGGATGTGTGTGTAAACATGGAAATGGGGCTCAGATTTCTCGGTTTTTGGGAGCCCAAGGAGGTGACAATTCTGGCTTGGAGTTGGATAAATCGGGGGCAAAGAGAAAGCAACAGCTCCCACGGCCCTCCAAACGGCCCCTTTTTTTTAATTCTGCCGATCAACTTATTTTTGGTGGGTCAACGGCAAACACTGTCCAGGACCCATCCCAAAAATGGCGGGAGATAGGCCAAACAGTCAGGCAGTCAGGTCGAGCTGCGCTCCATGGATCTCCTTTTCTGGGTAAGTCTATGGAATTGGGCTGGTCCAAGGCTTTTCCTTTGTCCAGGGTTGTTTGGCTTGGGGTATTCATTTGGGAGGGAGCTGGGAGAGTTTGTTCGGCCCAAAAAAGAGTCTTACTGTTGACCTCATATGAATCACCCCCAGTTGGCTAATTGGGGGAGACTCCCTGGGTTTAGTGGGGAATCAGACCACTTTTGGAGGGCCCCGCACCCCCCTATCAATAAACTGAAGTTGATTAATATGGGGTCACCATCATGGGGTGCGGCCAAGCCTTGTTTACTATAAGGGGCTCACACGATGAATGGGGTGGTTGGGTGGCAGCAATAAAGTCATGGTCAGAAGAGAATCATGTGTGTAACCACTGACGCCCCTCCTCGTGTTGGTTGCCCTTGCTCTCTCCCCCGAGTTCATGGACATTTGAAACTTTTTGGGTTTGGACCATTGCAGTGGCAAACACACACTAGGTCCCCCAGTAGTACCCTTTTACCCTTTTTTGGGGGAGGGTTCCCCTATTCAAAATAGACCACAGAAAATAAAGGAAAGAAAAAAACGGGTACCCTTGTTCTAACCTCTCAAATCTGGAGCACCTCGCAGAGTGTTGTTTTTCCTTTGTCACCGGCAGTCCCTGCCGGTGACTGGCAGAAATCGAAATGCGCCTAACGACGAGGACGAATCAGCACATCCCCTTCCGCAACGACCGGAAGCTGACGGGCACGGCCCGGTACGTGAGCATCAACACCCACCGGGGCATCGAGCAGAGCCGCCGGGATGACCTGGAAGCAATCGGCCGCTTGGAACCCCCTGGAAGCCGTTTTTTTTTTTTTCCGCGGGCGGTTCGCATGGATCAAGGAGATTTGGTGCATGGGTGTCCTTTGTGGTGGTGTTGGTGGAAAAATGGATGGCGATTCCTGGTTTACCTGGTGGTTTAATCATTTGCCAGGGCCATCTATTCGCCCTAAAAGGACACTTATGATTTGGTGACTTGTTGTCAATCCTTCTTTCAAACGACACCTAAATAACGCAATGTCGTAGCGTTGCCTCCGTCCCTGGGTTTAAGTCACAAAATCCGAGTTGAGGAAATACAACCCCGCCCGGTTTGCTTCTAGAAACAGGGTTTGCTTGCGGGTCGCAATCAAAACCCGGGTAGATGAAGGTCAGATGCGGCTTTTCTACCAGCCAGGTCAGACACCTGCGTATTGGCCTTTCTGCCAGCCAGTGAATGACAACGGAGCACGTTTTTATGCCAGCCCCATTTCGACCTCACGTCCTAAACCAGACCGGGGGGGCTTCCTGGTTTCGTTTGAGGCGCCCTGGGGTCTGTGGAGTGGAAAGGGTAGCTTGTCCCTCAAAAAATACAAATCAGCCCAGCTGATTTGGAGGAGTCCCTTGAGGAACAAACAAAAAGGTTATTTTTTGTTCGGGTTTGTTCTGCCACGGGTATGTGTCAGAATTCCTCCTAAAATGGCGGTGTTCCTCTTGATTCACCTTTAAGACAGAAGCGGAACTGGCACTCTCAAAAGCAGATCTTCATTGTTTGTTGATCAGGTCGACCATTGGGGAAAATCTGTAGGCATATGACAATTCCCATGTGTGAAAAGTTACCCATGGCCATTTGGGGGGCCAAAGAGAATATTGGTCAATCCCCAAAAAAGCCGTGCTCACTACCCCGGCCTTGGGCCGAGATTTTGGGGGCTGTCTAACAGCGTCAGAATCAAAGGTCAGACCCGACTGAATTTCCCATGGACCCGGCTTTTTGCAGGGTTTCCAAATTTCCGTTTTTGGAACCTCCCAAGTGATCGTTTCAATGGAAGCCACCAGTAGGTTGCAACTCTTGAAGGAGGAATCCAGTGACACCTGCCTGATGCATGAACCCCGAATTCAGGGGGTCCCTTTTTAGGGAGGACTGGGACCGAGGCTTGTTTCGGGCTTGACTTGGCTGAGGCTATGTGCTGATGTACTTCGCCAGGGGCAACTTGCCCTGGCAGGAGCGCTACCTGGGCGTAGGCAAGGGGGGCACCAAGGAGGACAAGTACCGAAGAATCCTCGACAAGAAGGACCGGCTCGCGGTTCAGCCAGTTGGATTTGCCTGGAGCCTCCATGACCGTCAAATCATGGGGTCATGACCCTTTTATTTAGGCAATGATCCAATTTTTGAAGGGACTCCAGTTGCCTGTTTTTGAGGGGGATCACTGACCATTCAGTTGGTTTTACAGGGAAACCAAGAGGGTAAACCACCATCTGTGGAGTGGTCCCCTACAACAAGACTCACCCATTTCTGCGTCATAGAGCTCCAAGACAAGCTCTTAAGAGGGCCTTAAGGGGTTGACAGGTGAGGGTTCGCAGTTGCCCCTTCGCAAGGCCATCGAATTTCACCCAACTGTACTATGGTTTGGCCTCGTTTGTTTGGTTTTTGACTAGTTGGTTTTTCCTTGCAACCACTTAAGCCAAACAACAACATGGTTTTGTCATTTGCATGGCTTGGGGTGTAGAGATTTGTCGCGATAGACCACATGCGTTCTTTTTTACAAAGCACTTGGATGCGACGGCCGACTCTTAAAGTGGGGCATTCGCTGGTGAATTCGGTATCCAACGCAGGCCCTACCTTTCCATTGCCAGACATACATCAGACAGGTAAATGGGTAAATGGTGAGGGTCCCGACAGGTTGCCTGCTTAAGCTCTTTGTCGTTGATTCGCTAGCACTAGGGTAAAACTAGACGGCACCGTTCCCTTGCTGTCGCTAAGGGAGATTATGAAACATGGGGGAATCGTGTCATGCACTTCCTCCCAGTAAGAAAATTGCCAGGCAGGGCCTGCCTTTGACTCGGTGCCTTGTTGGTTTTCCATCATTCCCCCTTTCAGCCAGCAAGGAGTTGTCACTTTTTGGAGGGGGTCTAGGTCTAGCCCAGTCACGGTCGTTTCATGTCGTTTCAATTGGTTTCTACCTACACGGTGTGCAAGAGGGTCCACCAAAATTCCATCCCCTCGTTGCATAATGCTCACTTGAGACCTATGCTGGGTGCTTCAGCTAAATATGAAGCAGCTTAGATGAAGGGGCGGGGCGTTGTGATCTTGCCACCCGGTTCGGCCGTTTAGCCTTGCCCTGCGAGCCAGTAGGTAGCTCAACGCGTCGAAGACGAACCTGGCTTCAGCGCCTGGAAAATCAAAGTAAACAACGGCTAAGGGAACCTCCCTCCCCACACACACACACACACACACAAAAAAAAAAACACCAAGCCTTTGGTGCATAGGTGTCCGTTTTGGTTGTTTTGGTAGAAAGGTAGATGCCTGGTTGACCTAGTTGTTTCATCAATTTTCCCAACAGGACACCCATGGATTGGTGGTTTCAACTGCGGTTTTTGCCCAAATGCTCAGGAGAGCACGCCCTTGGAGGTCTTGGGCAAGCCTGCCCCCCCGGAGCTGAACGCCTATGTCACCTATACTCGCAACATGGGCTTTGAGGAGTGAATGCTGCGGCCGATTTGTCTCGTCCTATTGGAACTCACTCCCTCGGCTCCGTTTCAGCTTTCGTCATCTTTGGGGTTTGGACCATTTTTGTGGCAAATAAACCGTTTGGTCATGGTTTGCGGGTTTTTGCGGATGTTGTCAGGAAGTCAGTTTTTGATGGCAACCTTTGTCTAAAGAGAAACCAGGAGGCAGCCATTCTGGGGGACAATTTAGAGATAAACCCATTTCAGACGATGGAACCGGATTTGAATGGGTAAATGAGGTTCATTGCCAGAAATCTTCCTGCGGATGCGAGCCCTTTTCGTTTACATGGTTTGTGTACCCTTCAATGGTGGCTTACCTGCTCATTTGCTGTTTTCAATTGGTTGATTTTCAGGTGAGATTTGAAGAACAAGGATGGACCATGGATGTGCAAATTGGCGTTCCTTTGGTAGTAGAAGTTGTTCATGGGTTTTACAGAGTTCTTGTACGGAAGTCCCTTTTAACATTCCCTTCTTGCTGCGAGAATTGGGTTTTTGTTTGTCAGTTTCAGAAATGCATATGGAAATCTGATTTTGGGCTTGGCACACGTTGAGAGAAAGCGGCAAATGATTTCTAGAAGAGGACCGCCCAGACTACGCCTGGTGCCGCTGGCAGTTTCCCAGATGCAAATGAGAAGGGGGTTTGGTAGGAGGTGTGCCAGCTGTTTTTTCAAGGGTCGTCGCAGGTATGGGCTTCGTCCAACACAAGCACGTTTGGCAATAACAGGTCCTTCAAAGAATAGTATACATACCAAACATGTTCTTTCATGCATTTGAAGCGTATAATGTTTCCAACTTAATAGGAACCCCGCATCCCCTCCCCCCTCAAGGTTGACAATGGGAGGGTTTGCTGGATTGGTCCTGTTTGCTCAGTCCTCCCCTTGTCTTGGCGAATGGGACTGCAACAGCAAAGTACCTCGGTCCCCCAGTAGTGCCCTTTTACCCTTTTTCGGGGGAGGATTCCCCTACTAAAATAGACTACAGAAAAAGGGTACCCTTATTCTAACACCTAGGTAAGAGAACCGTGTTTTTTGTTGTCCAGCGTTGGAGAGGGCCATGATTGATCAGGGTGGTTTTGTGTTGTTAGGAGTAGGGGGGTAGCATTGCAGGCGGGCCCTTTTGCAAGCTTGTCTGTAGAAGTACTTTGTTTTTGGATGTCCCTTCAAAGAAAGCTGGAAAATAGCATTGGAAAACGTATTGACAATATCTGTGTTTGATTCAGGTTTGTAATGTGCCGATTTTCTTGGGGAAGGTTAGCACCGTTCTAGTGCTACCTTCCCCATTCTTTCCAGGATCCTTCTTTGTAGAAAACCTCCGGAAACCATGGAAACGGCCGGTTTTCGAGAAGAAGGATGGTTGGAAAGAATGGACACGGAATCAGCCCTTAGAACCCTTCGGAGAGTTGATTTTGGGCAACCGAATGGATCAGGGGAGGAAGGCCTCTGGAACCAAGTCTTCCATTTCGGGGTCCGTTCGGGAGCTTCCGTGGAATCGGGGGGGCCGTTGATGTTGTCCAGGGGTCAAGGCTACCGGCAAGTTTCCAGGCCCGTGGGTTTTCAGCGAGGTTCATCATGATCCTCATGCGGGAGGCGCCCGAGACAGAGAGGGGGGTTCGAGGGGAATGGAGGGGGAGTTGCAGGTAGGAATAGGCCGGAAGCAGCGACATGGGCGTTTTTTTTTTTTTTTTTTCTCACGGCAAGTTTAAGCAATTTCTTGTTGGACTTATCTTAGGGGAGAGCCCCATCTTGTGTTTGTAAGTTTTGAATGGCTTGGAAAGTTGCCCAGCGGTATCCCTGCTTCCTGTTCAAGATGACGGCCAGTGGGCAAGTGGCATGTTGCCACAGGGTTCCACTTTCCGACTACCCAAGATAGGCTCGACCCCTTTTGGGGGTACTGCCCCGCGCCCGGGTGTAAGCCTAAGGGGTCAAGAAGTGGAGCCACGTGCCATGAGCAGCTTCTTGGCGGCCTGGAAGGGGCTCGCTGAACCCGGCTCCGGGGGTTTTCTCGTGACCGAGGGACCGTTGAGTTACTCGGTGGTTCAAAGCCGACCGGATCTGACCTCTTGGTTTTTTCCTGTGTTGGGTTCCCATTTTTGGTGGAGGCCCCAAAAGGTGAACCTTTTATGTCCAGGTCCTTTGGGCAAGTGAGGTTATGGTCCAAGGAGAAGGGACATATGTTGATAAGGACACCCTTGATGTACCCATCCAGTATTCGGGCAGTGGACATCAGTGGACATTCTGAGGGGAAGCAGTCTTCCAGAGACAGTCCAATTTCATGGTGTTTGAGGTCGCGGGTGCCGAAGCCTGCCAATTCTCCTGCAAATCAATCAGGCGGCATAAGAAAACCAGTCCGGCAAACAACGGAAAGCGCCTGCCGTGGCATGCGATGGCTTTCCCTTGTTTTCCCTTGCTTTCCCTTGCCTTCCTTCGCTTGACCTTGCTTTTTCCCTTGCGTTGCCTTGCTTTCCCTTGCTTTCCCTTTCCGTTGCTTTCCCATTTCCTTGCTTTCCCTTGCTGTCCCTTGCTTTCCTTTGCTTTGCCTTGCTTTGCCCGTGCTTTAGCTTGCTTTGCCTTGCTGTCCCTTGCTTTCCCTTGTTTTCGCTTGCTTTCCCTTGCTGTCCCTTGCTTTGCCCGTGCTTTTGCTTGCTTTGCCTTGCTGCCCCTTGCTTTACCCTGTTTTCCCTTGCTTCCCTTGCCTTGCTGTCCCTTGCTTTCCCTTGTTTCCCCTTGTTTTCCCTTGTGTTCCCTTGCTGTCCCTTGCTTTCCTTTGCTTTGCCTTTCTGTGCCCGTGCTTTTGCTTGCTTTGCCTTGCTGTCTTGCTGTCTTGCTGTCTCTTGCTTTCCCTTGCTTTGCCTTGCTTTGCCCGTGCTTTTGCTTGCTTTGCCTTGCTGTCCCTTCCTTTCCCTTGTGTTCCTTTGCTTTGCGTTGCTTTGCCCGTGCTTTTGCTTTCTTTGCCCTGCTGTCCCTTGCTTTCACTTGTTTTCCCTTTCACTTGCTTTCCCTTGCTTTCCCTTGCCTTCCTTTGCTTTGCCTTGCTTTGCCCGTGCTTTTGCTTGCTTTGCCTTGCTCTCCCTTGTTTTCCCTTGCTTTCCCTTGCCTTCCCTGGCTGTCCCTTGCTTTCGTTTGCTTGTCCCTGCTTTCCCTTTCCCTTTCTTTCCCTTGCTTTGCCCGTGCTTTTGCTTGCTTTGCCTTGCTCTCCCTTGTTTTCCCTTGCTTTCGCTTGCTGTCCCTTGCTT